AGAGTCCACAGGATCTGACAATCAAGCAGCCACTGTTACAGTGGATGGTTTGCTTCTCTAAGCTTTCCACCTCCTTTAATTTCCCCAAAATCCTGCCTCAGGCTGTGTTTAGAGGGGTGATAAGGATTGCAGTTAAGCAGAGGGTGCAGAAGGAGTTGATAAGGGAGAAGGCTTTATTTGCTTTCACTCTCTCACTGGAATTAATACAATGAAAACCCTTTTAAACAGACAAAATACACATCAGTAGATCAGTAATAACTGGGCACCAGTGCTGCTTCTCCTCCCAAAGCTGCAGGAGGGAATTGGTCTGCAGGGCATGCTGCATCTCTACATCTGCTCAGGAGGATCCTACTGCTGCAGACCAGTCTAATGACACAAATTTGCAGCAGTTTCAGCTGCTGAGGAGAATTATTTACACCATTTCTCCGTTAGCAGCTGCTGCAATGAAGCAATTCTTCTTTCCAGTGGGAAGTGCAAGTTCTTTCCAGTGGGACAGGAAAATCACACGAGTTTCTTGCTGAATCACAAAGCAAAGGCACCACACCACAGGGTCTGAGAATCCTAGAATCATTTGGGCTGGAAAAGACCTCTCAGATCAGGGTCCAACCATTAATTTGGCACTGCCAAGCCCACCACTAAACTATGTCCCTAGGTGCCATATATACAAGTTTTTTTAAATCCCTCCAAGGATGGTGATTCACCCCTTCCCTGGGTGCCAGTACTTTGCCATGTACATGCCCTCACCTGCCATGGCTGAGGGACATGGCACCCAGGAGAGATTTCAATGCCGAGGCAATAATGGTGCTGAGGGGTGGGAGTGATGAGTTGCCCTAAACCAGCCTCACTTTGGAGATCCCAAAAAACTCCAGAGCTGGCATTCTGAGCTTGCAATGCAATCCATGTCAGTCTTCCAGCTGTGTGATCGCCTTGGACTGAAAAGTCTAAGGCTGGGAAGCCAACCAGGGATATTGTGGAGCTGAATTTCCTTCCCAGTGAGCCCAAGAGGAAAGCTGCATGGAGCACTTGGCTTTGGCAGCCTTGGAAACCATCCACCAGCAGGTGGTTTTGGCTTATGGAACCTGCAGGACACTTTTCACCATAAAATCCAAGTAATACAGTCAGAGGACTCCCACATCACTGCACCCTGGGTCGCTCCCACCACTAACAGCAGTGGGAGCAAACCCACCTCAGAGGCCTGGCTCCTGCCAGTTGTGCTCCAGCAGGGAGCACATCCTAGCTCTAACCACATGGTTCAGGGACTGCTGGCTGCTAGCAAATACCTGCCTGCTCTTGCCATGCCAAGGAGCACACTCTGTCTCTTGATGGTTTGTTGGGCAGCATCGAGGAGGAGCACGGGCCTGAACTCCAAACAGATCTAATTTTCCAGTTGGTCATCTGCACCAAACAGCAGGGCTTGGGGCTTACCTGGTGTGCAGAAAAAGGGAATGCAATGACTGTACATAAATATATATATACACACATATCCATCTCTGTATGCTCTGGGTAGATTAAAAGGTTTCTCACTGAAAAAAAACCGATTCCCTTCATTTTCACATCTTTAGTGACTTCAAAGACATTTTAATACACAATATATGGCTGAAGAAACAAATATTTTCCTTTCACATCTTCCCAGGCAACATTTGACTTTTTTTTTAATCAAAACTGCCATGAAAATAGAAATATTGTTGGACCATCCAAATATTAAACTGTCCCCACAAAATACCACAGGGAAAACTGCTGGCATCATACTCATTGTGCAGATCTGATGTCTCTGCACCCACCCTGAAAAAGCCCAGTTTGCATTTGCTACATTCACATTGCTAAGTTATAAAAAAAGGGCTGCAGATGCTGCATTTTGGGGGATGCTGTTCCCCCCACCCCCCAAACCACTGCCACACCATTAATGACTTTCTCAGCACAGCTGCTCCAAGCATCCCCACACACAGATTTCCTTTTGCATTCATCCTCATAAAGCTGCTCACACAGATACAGCCCATCAGCAAAATGTAAAAATAACTGAAAAGATATAATTAGGGTGGATGTGCTGTGGATTTAATAGGGTTTTTATATTTCTTCCTTTGCTGGCCCATCAGGCACAAATCCTGGATGGAGAGAGGCTGACGGGGAGGGAAAGAGAGAGCTTTGCTGTGGTGTATGTTTGGCAAAACCCTCAAATATTTTTCTCAGTTTTCTATTGCCTGTTGAGCACCACAGAGAAATTGCAGCAGATTGATTCTTTCACAGCTCCCCAAAGTTGAAATGCTTTGGAGCCAAAAGCTCAGTGCCTGCCAAACTTCATCATTAACTGTAATAACTCTTTAATTTGAACTTTAATTCAAACACCCATATTTTAGGGGGATTGTAGGGAAAAAAAAAAAAAAAAAAAAAAGAGCAAAACAAACCAAAGGTAACCAGTTCTGGTAAAATATAGAAGCAGCCCCAAGCTTGTGCTGTGCCAGAGGCAGCTGGAGTTCAGCTGTCCTATCCTGGTCACACAGGAGGCCATTCTGGGATGGAGAGGCATTGTCCCAGCCCAGCAGAAAGTGAAGGACGTCAGACACCAGGAAAGTGACAGGCTCAAAGCTGCCTTCACTGCCCTCGATGGGAGGTTTTCCAAGGCCACCTCTAGGGATGGAGAGATCAAAGCCATCCAGAAGGCCATCAGCCAGGAGTTTTATCTGAACCTGGGGTCAACAAAGCTGTGATTAAAAAAATTACTAAAAGCAACCCAGGTGAATTTGCTCTAATGCAATCAATTCTACGCATTAAGTGACACAGAAATTGGCTTCTTTTCCTTGTTTAGGAGGGATGATAAACATCCAGTCCTGGATCTGTTCCCCCACCAATGGTTTTTAATGGTTCTGTCACTGCAGTGTGAGCTGGACTGGGAAGCATCAGGAGCAGAGGAAAGTGAGGAACCCAAAGGAGGAATGTTGATGCACCTTCTCTTCCCAGGTAGACACGACTCCAGCTGTCAGACTGCTCAGAGCCCTCCCAGCCCACCCTGGCTGAGCTCACTGTGATGGGTCCTTTAGGGAAAAGCAAACTGTTGACACGAGGAGCAGGAGACAGAGCAGCACCAGATAGGGAATGGAGATGACAGAGCTCAGGAATGCATTCACAAACTTGGCAGGGCTTCAGAGCTGTCAGCCCAAGCCTCTGGGAAGAAGTTGAGGATTAATAGGGATGTCTGGCCTGCTCTGGGTTGGAGGACACAAAGGAGCATCCACCTGCCCTGTGGTTTCAGCCTGGTTTGAGCTGGGGTTAGCCTGAACCATGGCGATTTTTCACCATTTCACAACTAAGAGCCAGTGATAATATAAGAAATCTCCTTAGCATCATTCCCCAGGGATGCCAGCATTCCCACAGCACCATGCCCTGCCCGAGGGGCAGGAGGGGAATGCCATGACTTGCCACTCAGAACCGAGAGCTGGGCAGCTGTAATGAATGTACTGATAAAGAGATTCTGATCAATAAGCCTGGCAGCTCCTACCAGCAGATGAATGGCTTTCGGTCTGTGGGTTACAGAGTTGTTAAGTGCCCAACCACCCTGCTGACTGTGTGTGTCTGCTGACCCTCCTTTATCCACCATCCATCTCCCACTCCCTCATTCCTGCATCCACACAGAACCCTTCTCCCCCCATCCAGCTGTGCTCACAGACAGGCCCTGATGTCTCTCTTGAGGCAAGCTGGGTGTGCAGAGGGGGAGAGGAAGGATTTCATTTCCCTGTAATCCTGCTAGGAGTTCTCCTTTGAAGCACTGACCCGGCTCGGAGCAGCTGGCCCATGGCCACAATTACTTCCAGTGTGAGCACACACAAAAAGCCAAGTGAGAGGCCAAGGAGGGGGTGCTGAGATTTGAGCACCAACGAGTCAATCAAAGGCAGTCGCTGTTCATTAGTCCCTGTGCCTTCCCCTGTCACGGCTGCCCCATTATGCAGGGACAAGGAATCTTTCCCTGGGTCAGCCAGGGCCACACAGGAGCCAGCAGAGAGCCCAGAAGGCAGAGGATGACTTGAGGGAGTCAGGGTCTGAGAATGCAGCCCCAAGCTGCCACTTACAGAGCCTGCCTTCTGTGAGCATGGTCAGGGCCATCCCATTGCAGAGTTGTTCCCGTTTTTCTCGCTTTTCCTAAAACCAGGGGAAAAAAAGAGAGCTACACCAAAGGAGTCCCAGGTGTTGCTGGAGAGAAACCAGCAAATATATATTTTCACTCAGCAGCAGGGTAATGGGGGAGGCAGGGATGTTCCCCAGGGAGCTGGAGAGGAGCTCCAGAGCAGGAGGGCCATTAGAAGGAAGAGACAGCAATTGCTCAAGGTTATGGCATTGGCAGAGGGTGGCAAAGTAAGATGTGGTAAGTGGCCCAAAGGTGAGTATTTGGTGCTTTGATAGCACCAGATTGTTTCCTAAATAAAAAAAAGCAGTAACAACAAGAATCTGCCTTTGTCACTGCTCAAGGGCTATGACAAGGTCTTCCCACCAGCCATGGGTTCCATTCAGGGTGGATTTAGGCTCCACTAATGTCGCAGTTGGGATGGCCACAACACACAGAGTAACATCATACAATTTCAGAAAGCTTCAACCCATACAGAGTAACACCAAACCACTTCAGAAGGCTGCAAGTGTCTGCTCCTCTTGTCCTGTAGCCCAACCTCATGTTTTGCCCTCTGCTCCCTTTGGTGGTTGCTCAGTGCCCCTGGGCACTCCAGGGCTCATTGCTGTCAGTGCTGCTCACAGCTGCACCCACTGGGGATGGGGCTGGGCCAACCCCACTCCCAATCACCACAAACTGTCCCTACACACCAAAGCCAGCAGGACTGCACGTGGGTGAAGTTGGCCCCACACGTGTCTGGATAACTGCCAAGAAGGATTTGCCTCCCTGTGCTGAGCACAGTTTCGAGGCTAACACCAACCACGCTCTTTTGCTTCTGTGTTCCCAGGTCCTCCCCACTCTTGGCTGACCGAGACTACCTTGGAAGGCTCTTCCTTCTCCCAGGAAAATGGGGACTGATGGCGAAAACCCGATCCTGAGGAGTGTGGTCATCAGCTTCAACTTGCTCCTGCTGGGCGCTGTCCTCAAGCCTTTTGAGTGCCGTCTGGAGATGACGACAGAGCCGGCCGAGAGGACAGCGGTGGATGAGGCAGCTGGCCTCGCCAACTGCAGCCCACCTATCAAAGAGCAGCCCATGGTCTTCCACCACATCTACAACATCAACATCCCGCTGGACAGCTGCTGCTCATCCGTGTTCAAGTCTTCGGCCGAGGAGGTGAGTTCAGAAGACGACCGGCTGGCAGAGTACACGGAGCAGACCTCCGACAGCGAGAGCCAGGTCACCTTCACCCACAGGATAAACATGCCCAAGCAGGCCTGCAAGTGCTCCACCTCCCTCCCATCCCTGCAGGAGCTGCTGAGCAGGATTGAGATGCTGGAGAGGGAGGTCTCCATCCTCCGGGACCAATGCACCTCCAATTGCTGCCAAGACAATGCAGCCACAGGTAGTAATGCCATCCTGTTAGCTCTTGCTGGGGACTGAGGGCTTGAGCAAAAGGCAGGAGAAATAATGCAAAACCTGATGATGCCACTCAGAGTGGTGACAGAGGAAAACCAGTGTTTACCCACGATGGGGCTGTGGCTTTAGTGAAAAAACTTAGCTTGAGTCCTCTAAGCCAGGAAAAATCCTGGCAGTGCTTTGGTCACTTGAGTGCCCATGCCACACTCACTGCAAAAACTCCGTCATGGAGAGAGAGCTGAACCCCCTTTACAGATGAGATTACAGCTGGTTAGGGGTGAGCAGGGGGATCTCCCAACTCTGCAGCCCTCCCAACACTCTTAGACATGTGGGACAGGGAGCAGGGATGTAGCTACTGCTCTCCTAAGCTGTCCCTGGGCTGAAGGCAGCTGGCAATAAGCCCCTTCATCTTCTCTGCAGGGAGAGTGAACACATCTGAAAAGCTGAGTTAAAAAAAAATTATTAAGAAATACAAAAACATACATGAAATAAGCAAACAAAACCTAAAAAATAAATTTAAAAAGGCACAAAACTATCAACATGATACTCCATCTGAATAAAAAGATGTGCTTTTGTGGAGACCTTCAAGAGGTCCCATTAGGGTTACTCCATTAAAGGCAGCCCCTTGTTTCACCTCAGCTGTCCCTCAGGGTCAGGCAAGCAGCACTCAGCTGAAATGAGATGGGCCAGGAAAGTTTGGGCTGGCAGCTGCATTTCCATGGTCCAGGAGCAGGCATACTGATAGTTTTCCTTGTCTCAAGGAAGAGGGGCTGTCCCAAAGGGCATCCATCCCAAATGCAGCCCAGCCCTGCTCGTGGCTGCAGCACAGCAGGGCTCCTTGCAGGGAAGAAAACACTGAGCAAGGAGAAACACACAGGGCATCTTTCCAGGGGAAACCTGCTTTTCACACCAAGAACAGCAACAGAAAGGAAGAGAAATTAAAACCAACCCTTGTACCCCCAATACTCACTGCATTTTTTTTTATTTTAAAGTTTTGCAGCTATTAGTGTGATTTTTCCAGTGGTACCCCAACACCTCTGTGTGTAGGACACAATAAAATGAAATGGGTGCAATCAATCCTCAGGTCAAGAGTTCCACCAAAGATGTGCTGGTCAGGGAGGGAGAAACAAGGATGGGCACACAGCAGGGTGGCTTGGGCTGGCATCTATCATGTGGCCAGTGGAAGTCAATGTGTTCCCAGCCATGGCTTCAGCCCACATCCCTCCCAATGCCACATCCATCAGCTGCATTAATAACTAAGACAAAACAGGAAACACCACTCTGTGCAAAGTGAGGGTTAAAATCACGTAGGAAATGCTAGGGGAAAAACCTGTTTTAAAGAAATTAATTTGAAACTCTGATGGGCCTATTTGGGTTACTTGCAACATGCATAGACAGTCCCATTAAATATTCATTGCTTGGTGGAGTCCCCACTCCCATCACAGATGTGCTGAGCTAAAACTGGAGTAATTTCATTTCTTTTTACCAGAGTTGCTTTCAATTCACTGCACTGCAAAGGAATCAGGATACCTACCCCACCACCCAAGGCAATTTCCCTGAGGAAAAATCTCTTTTCTCCAGCACACTTAACAAGCATCCTCTCTTATCTTTTGATAACTCAACTAGAGGCTGAGATCTGAAGAGATCCTGACTGGCATTCCCAGTGCTTGCAGTTTGGATGGGAATTGTCCTGCAAAGTAACCCAAATGTGTCTGTCTGGCACAGCATGTAACTGAGCTGCTTTTACACGTGCATCTGCTACATCCCCCCACTGGAAAAGCTGCTTGGAAAGGTCAGCTAGGATGGAAAATTTAGCTGGGGACAGTCCTGGGGCTTGGGGGTCTTTGGGGTGCAAAGGTTTCCCACGGTTTAGAAGAGGCACAAAAGGGGTTTCTGTTCTTCCTTGTTTCACATGAGGAAAAGCAGTACAAATCAGCAAGGAAAAGTTAGCCTGCCTGGGATAAACCCTTTGCTGGAGCAGTGGCTCTGTTTTAGGGCAAAACTGGGGAGTGTTAGCAGTGTCAGTGACTGGTGCCTTCATCCCCATCATCCCTCCTCACCCCAGAGCATCCTGTGCAAGGCTGCCAGGTAAAGAGGGGGCATTAGAGGTGCTGGCCACAGAGCCCTTGTGCTGTCCCTGCTTTTCCACAACCTCATTGTGCCCAAAGCCAGCAGTTCTGTCCCAATCAGGCTCACCAGGATAGGGATGAAGATGATGTCTTTGGGTACACACCTACTTCGTATAGGAGAGAGAGAAAGCAGCTGGGGATCTCTCATCTATAAAAAGGAGAAGTGGGTAGAGGTGAGACCAGAGAAGTCATGGCTGGTGCAGAGGGTTTGGCCAGGGAAGGTTTTTTCCAGTAAGAGGTCTAGGAAAGTTCCTATCAACTGAGTGCTGAGCTGGAGAGAAACCAAAGGGAACACCTGCACCATCACAAGGCTGATGGCACCCATAGTTACAGAGGCCACTGCTCCCTAGGGAAAGATGCACCCAAACCCCACCACAACCCCACCAATTCTTCTCCTTTCAGCCCTAAAGCCACCAGTTTGCCAGAGCTGGGCACTCTCGGAGGGAGAACTATGCCCTCCTTGCCCCACACCTGCCCCTTTCTCCAGCCCTTCAGAGGGCTGACCTGAGACCAAAGCCGACCTTTTTCCACCTCCCACGCGGTGGGTTCTGACCCTCGGTCCTGCATCCTTGCAGGGCAGCTGGATTACATCCCGCAGTGCAGCGGCCACGGGAATTTCAGCCTGGAGTCGTGCAGCTGCGTGTGCATGGAGGGCTGGGCGGGCAGCAACTGCTCGGAGCCGCGCTGCCCGGGGGGCTGCTCCAGCCGCGGCGTGTGCCTGGAGGGCCAGTGCATCTGCGACAACGACTACGGGGGCGAGGACTGCTCCCAGCTGCGCTGCCCCGCCGGCTGCGGCTCCCGCGGGCTCTGCGTGGACGGCGAGTGCGTGTGCGAGGAGGGCTTCGCCGGGGAGGACTGCTCCCAGCTGCGCTGCCCCCGCGACTGCTCGGGCCGGGGCCGCTGCGAGAACGGCACCTGCGTGTGCCAGGAGGGCTTCGCCGGCCGCGACTGCGCCGCGCCGCGCTGCCCCGGCGCCTGCAGCGGCCGCGGCGTCTGCCGAGACGGGCTCTGCGTCTGCGAGGGAGGCTACGACGGGCAGGACTGCTCGGCAGGTAGAGGGGGGTGAGCAGAGCCAGGCGTGAGTCTTGCGTGAGCAAGGGTTTCGAGGTGCGCAGAGTAGCACGGGAGCGCCGCGAAGCCTGGGAGAAAGGCGTGCCTGGCACAGAGAGTCACTTGGCCGCCCTGTGCGACCTCAGCGGGAGCGCCGCGAAGCCTGGGAGAAAGGCGTGCCTGGCACAGAGGCACTTAGCCGCCCCGTGCGACCTCAGTGTGTCCTACCTCCCTGTTATCCCTGTCCCCAAAGACACCGTGACAAAATTTGGGAGGTGAGGAAAAGGCTAGTGAGGGTCATCCTGTGGCTGGCCGAGAGCTGTGTACAAATCACAAACAGGATGAGACTGCTAGGAACGTGTCTTGAGCTGTTGTATTTTCCAGCCTCATTACATGGTTATGACAATGGGAAGATGCCAGCAGCTCACATCCCAGGCAGCAAACCAAAAACTTAATGTTACTACTTACTTTAATAGTTTTTTGACCAATCACACAAGGCAAAAGCATATTGGCAGTAGTTCCATCCAACCACTATAAGCACACATACAGTGCTTGCTTATTTTGAATATAATACCTGTTTGTAAGCCTTAAAACACAATACACAGAGCTCTATTATTAAGCTTAAAACGTCCTAATATCTTACTAAATATACTTTTCTACAACTTAAAAAATTATTCTAAACAAATGCTAATACCCAAACCATTGTTCTATTTATCCTTACTTCTTACACAATTTTTCTACTAACCAATTTTATAGCTACTACTTAACTCTAATCACAATTCTAACTGTCTCTAAAACCTATATTTTACAATTTCCCCAAAACCCTCTAATTTTATAAATTCCCACACATCCCAACATGGGGGCTAAACCTTTAGTGCCACAGGTTCTCCTGAGCCTTTACCTTGCTATAGCTGTTCAGACAGCCGCAGCTGGCACATAACCCCCAGCCCGTGCCCATGGCCCACCAGCAGACCTACACACCCTCCCACAGGAGTGGAAGAACAAGCCATGAACACCCTGACACTCTCCATCCCTCTGCCCTTCCCACCAGTGTCTCCTCCTGAGAACATGCGGGTGACAGGGATCAGCGACAGCTCCATCGAGCTGGCGTGGGACAGCCCCGGGGCAGCCACCGAGTACGTGGTGTCCTACCAGCCCGCCGTGCCAGGGGGCACCCAGCTCCAGCAGAGGGTGCCTGGGGACTGGAGCAGCATCACCATCACGGATCTGGAGCCGGGTGTTGCCTACAATGTCAGCATCTATGCGGTCATCAGTGACGCCTTCAGCATCCCCGTTACCTCCAAGGTGATGACTAGTAAGTATCCTCCTGCACTTGTCGCTTGCTGGCCATGTATCCTGAGGGGGTGCTCAAGCTGGCTCACTTTTTACATAAAAAATTTCTAGCAGCAGAAACTTGAGCATCCAAAAAAAAAAAAAAAAAAAAAAAAAAAAAAAAAAAGAAAATGTATCTGTATAGGGATATAGGAAAGGAAGAAATGTGTCCACCTTCTTCAGAAGGACTCAGTTTGGATGAAAACCTGGATGTCTAAAAAGAAGAAAAAGCTTCCAGAGTTGGATTGAAGCCCCCAGAATGTGGCCCAAAGCATTACATTTTTTTTTCCTCAGAGAAAATACTACAATATAACACAGAAGTCTCAGGTTCTCCTCCCATGCCTGAACAGATGATTCCCCGTGATGACTCCCCATGATAGTGCAGCAAGAGGGAATGCTGCTGTGCATCAGAAGAAACACAGTCCTGACCAGGACTGTGATGCACAGAGGAAAACAGGAGTATCAGGCTGTAATGCCAGCCTCCAGAGGGGTTTCTTGGAGACTGAGGATACAGAGGGCAGGAGAAAAACAGAAACTATCCAGACACCCCTTTGCAACCCTAGCATTCACTCTGTTCACACGATAATGCAGTGGGATGATGCCTGAGTGTCCATAGGTCTAGGCACTTCCCTCTTTTCCCTCCAACCCATGTGGAGCGGGGAAAAAGGAATTTTGCTAACAGATACCAAAAGTTTCCCTATTTTTGTTGCCCAGATAACAAAATACCCGCAGGGAGCAGGGTGGGCACAGCAGCATGTGCACGCCCACCCTGCTCTGCTCACCACCCCTGCTCCCTTCCAGACCTCGCCACACCGCAGGGGCTGAAGTTCAAGACCATCACAGAGACAACGGCAGAGGTGCAGTGGGAGCCCTTCTCCTTCCCCTTCGACGGCTGGGAGATCAGCTTCATCCCCAAGGTACTGCTGCCACAGCCATGGCACTGCAGGGTGTATCCTGGCAGCACCCAGTGAGCGCACCCAAAATCCATGTCCAATTATCCCCTTCCCAAAATACCCAGCCTGTGTTTGCCATTTCTGTGCTGCACATCACACTCCCCAGACACTGCCAGCCTGCATTTCCCCATCAGTTTTTGTGTCAAAGAAATGTTCCCAAAAAAAATCCAGCGATGGGAAAAGAAACCTTCCAGCCTCACTGCCTCTTGTTGTTGCACCCTCTTTTTCCTTTCCATCTCCTTTGCTATGAGTCTTTCTCCTCCTCCTCCTCGCCCTGCTCTCTACATTAAGCTCCCCAAAGCAGCTTGGATCAGAGCGAGCAGCTGCTGGCTCTCAGACAACAACCTTCAGCACCCCCGAGTCACACGCGCAGTTAATTCCTGCCATGGAATTTTAATCGCAATGACGAGCAGGTAGAAATCTTGCCAAAAAAGATGAAAGGATAAAAATGTTGCCCTAAATACCCCGTATTTTCTGTGCACAGCAACAAAAATTGTACATCGAGTATTTAATCTATATTCATAATTTCTACACCATTTAGGCATAAGTATAGCTTCAATTGTACATTGAGCCTCTTTATAAGGGTATTCAAGCCCCAGCAGTGAAAGAAATGCTGATTAAGGGCTCAATTATGATGTTTTCACTTGCATAAAACCTTCACTGGAATCAAAGGCAGCTCTGGGCAGTGGAGAACTGCAGAATTTGGCCCCAAAGTTTTAAATACTCTTAACTATGAAGTATCATTGCACAGCACAAAGCAAGGGCTCAATTGCTTTAAATAACTCAATTCTCTCCTTTCCAAAGAGTTGCTGGGAGGTTATTGATGTGATATTGGCTACATCCACATGCAAATTGTGTCAGAAGTTGAAGCTCATGTAATGCAGGTACAGACCCTGGAATAATTTGCAGTCACCATCAGGTGATCATTGAGGATTAAAGCTGAAAAATGTAGCAATATCAGAGAAAAGCTTTTGGTAGGAAAAAACAGCTCTTTCAAACATTTCACTATTACTAGGAATTAAGCTCAACAGCTTCTGCCTGAAGCAAATAAATGCAAACCATTGGTTCTTTTTTCTGTTTTTAAGACTAAACTTAAAAATACATGGAAACATCTGCCTTTAGAGGCAGACAAAATGCAAAAGGATGGCTGTTCCTGGATGCAGGGTCTTGGGTAGGGAAGGAATGTAGCTCACTGGGGTTTGAAGTTCTCTAATTCTTCAGTTAAGACATAGAGTCACAGGCATGTTCCTGCCCATCAGCTGCCAAAATTGGCCTCTCTTGTGTCTCCATCATCACCTTTTCTCCTAAAATTAGGCAGGGGGTGCTGTGTCCTTTACTGCCCTGCAAGCAGCGCTTGCTTGGGTACATGCTGAAACATTGCCACACCTCAGACAAACCCAAAACCCATTCCCAAAGGCTAAAAACAACAGAGTTATAACTGCAGCATCACAACCTCTGTGAGAAAAATTGACCTCCCTGTCTTCCCAAAAACTGGGTGAGGAAATGCTAATTTGGTCCTCAGCAGCCCAGCGAGGATGCTTGCAGCTTCCTGCAGAGCTCTTTCCATCTCCTTCCATGGTCTCTGTGATGCTCTCACCCCCACAAAAGATGGGTCAGGCAGGATTGCCCATCTGCTGCCTGTACTGGGAATGGGGTGGGAAAAAGACAAAGAGAAGACAGATTTAGCAAAGAAAATTCGGAAAGGTAAAATGGTAACTGATGGCTAAAATGGAAGGTTTCCTCTTTAATGAGAAAAGGAATGAATATGAGTTGAGAGTTATGTGCAAAGATTTGTTTAGCATGTTATTAGTGAAGACAGCAGCAAGAAAAGATCCTTTGTCTGAGCACTGGCAGGAAAGGTGACATGTGCAGTTGTTTAAAGCCTTGCAGTTTTTCAGGGCAAAACCACAAGGCATAAATGAGTGTACTAAAGATGGCTAAAAAGCAGGTGACAGCAAAATAAAGACCTCACAGCTTCATACCTATACACCAACAACAAAAGGCTCCTGGCACCCGAAGAGCAGGGAAAACAAGTCTAGCCAAGGCTTTGGTTTAATCATCTTTCCTCTTTCTGAACAGCAGAGGCACAAATATACAGAAGCTGGGGAGGGAGGAGGGATGGGAAGCATTTTGCAGCCCAACAACACGAGTACCGCACACTTGGTGGGTGACTTCATCCCAGGTTTCTCCCTCCATGGTGGGGTGTGCCAAGGTGATTTGGGGATGCAGAGTGGGCTGTGGAAGGATGCAACGTGGGGGGCACCTCCTGTTTGTGCAGCAGTCCCCCCAAAACACCACTTGGTGGGGGAGGGTTAATGCTCGTTTCATTCCCTGACAGAACAACGAGGGTGGTGTGATCGCCCAGCTCCCCAGCACCGTCACCACCTTCAACCAGACGGGGCTGAAGCCAGGGGAGGAGTACACTGTCACCGTGGTGGCCCTGAAGGAACAAGCCAGAAGCCCTCCCACCTCCGACAGCGTCTCAACCCGTGAGTGAGCCTCACCTGGGGGCAGCACAACAGTGCCAGGGCTCGGTCCCAAAAATAAAGTCCCATGGGCAGGGATGAAACTTGCAGCAAACATTGCAGCCACAGCTTCTTCATGCAGTATTTTGTCCCTCTCTCTCCTAAATTGTCACGAGTGCAGAAACCGTGGTGAGGTTAATGGGATTGGGAGTGAAGACTCAGTTCTGCTTTTATTGTAGATCTGGATAAATTATTCTTCTCTTCTAATTCACATTTTGGAGGCTGGATGCCCTCAAGAAACATATCTACAAATGTATTACTTACTCATATATAGCAGATTAAAACTCCCATCCGCTTTTGTGCCACTAAATGCCCTCAATTCCCACCTATTCAGGCAAATCAGGCAGCAGGGCAGGGAGCCAGGAGCAACAGCATGTCCCTTCCTAACCAATTTTTTTGCTCACTCACTGGCCCTTCCTGTAGATCAGAGAAAATTCAGCTGGGTCTTCTTGCTGAAGGAGATGCAGCGATGGGCAGAGCTCACGGGAGAGAAGAGGCTCTTCACATCAGATGTGTTGCAGCCTGCCTTGAAAGCCAGGCAGACGTCTACTAGCTCCACCTGAGCTGTTCCGTGAGGAAACAGCACTTAAATAGCTGCCGGAGGGTTGTAATAAGGTGCTGCTAATTGAGGCAGCGGTGGGCGCGAAGGGAGGGTCCCTCCACAGCAGCAGCTTGTTGCAGGTCTGAGTTCCCCAGCACAGCCCTTTCCTGCTTTGCCTCCGCGTTCAGCTCGACGTGGCTTAATAGAGACATCTCCTGGTCAAGCCAGAAACTCCCTTTCCCTGGGAAGTCAGCAAAGATAGAAGCTGGCACTTCAAACTCGAGGGCTGACCTTTGCAGGGAGCGCAGGCGGAGCGGTGCGCTCGGGAATCTGTGCTCCGTGAAGGCATCCCTGTGCTGGCACGTCTGCCTTCCTCTGCAGCACCCCCAGAGCTTTATCCCCACCACCCCTTGCTCTTCCTCAACATCTTGTGCCAGGATCAGGCAGCAGAGGCATGTTTATGCCACAGAGCTAAGCAGATGTGGATCACCTGGATGGCTGGACAGCATGAAGCAGTTGGAGACTGAGGGTATGCATGGCGTGGTCCTGGCCAAGCTGGACAGCCAGCTCCTGCCTGAACACTGGGACTGCCAGCTGTGCTCCCACCTCTGATGTTTTGCCCACAGACCTCACCTCACTACTCCAAATTCCTCCATGTCCTTTTCTAATGCCCCCCCACATGCTTGTCCCCCAGAACTTCCAACCCTGAGGTGCAGCATTCAGCAGACCCTTATTATATACTGTCACTATGTCAGGTATATGTATATATGGTATAGTCTAAACTGCAGAACCAAAGTGGGCTTTTTCACCCACCTTGTGATCATCTAAGTGATAAAACAGGCTGCCCAGCAGGCTTCATGCATGAGCACTGTCATGGCACAGGAGTGGTGGCAAGGCTTGGCTCCATCCATCCATCCATCCATCCATCCATCCATCCATCCATCCATCCATCCATCCATCCATGTAGTGGTTAAGTCCTGCTGGATGCAAAGCATCCATCAGCCAGGCTTGAGCCTAGGATGTCCAAAGGTTGAGTGTTGGGGGTGTGGAGGAAGGAAGGGCCCAAATCTCTGCCAAAAAAACAAACAAACAAACAAGCAGAAATGTCCAAAAAGATCTCCCACTAGATCCCTGGTATGAATTTTTCTAAAAACCTTTTATCTGAAAGGCTTTTTTGGACACCAACCATAGCCCCACACCCAGCAAGTTATGAAGATTCACCAGAGCAGTTGCATTTTCTCCTCTCTTCCCACTGCCAAGACACCAGCAGCTTTATGAGCTGATTCCTCAGTTTAAGGACAAACCAGGAGCTGGCATCAAAGCAGGAACATTTCTAGAGACATTCCTCAGTTCTCAACACTTGGATCTTGTCCTTGGCCCCACGTTATTTAACACGTTGTCAACACCTTTCAAAAGACATAATACTGTTGCTGATAAATTTTGCCAGTGATGGAAAAGCTCAGAAAAGAGTAAATTGCATAGAAGAACATCAATAAAAGTTTTTTTGATAGTTTGAATAGCTGGGCACAAAGGAAAATTATGTGTTTTTCAATGTAAAATTACAAGCAACTGTCTAAAAGCAAAAAAAGTGTTGCAGTTAGATATAGGAGGTTTATATCCTGGGAAATGCCACCTTAAAAAGTCAAAGAGGAATCATTTTTGACAACCAGCTCAAGAGAAGGGCATGAGTTGCATTATAGCTGTAATGGGTGCCAATGAGAGAGCTGCTGGGTCCTGCTCTGGTGTCTGCAGAAAGTGGAGAGGGTTCCGGAAAGAGCCAGGAGACTGGGACAAGGGTCTGGGCAGCTATGAGGACCACACCCCCTATAAGTACCTTGGGGTCAGGGTCACGCCTCTTGCCCATGCCACCTCTCTCCCTTGTCCCCAAATACCAATTCCAGCCGCTTTAAAGGTCAGCCTGAAGCATCCCTGAAGCTCGGTGTCCCCAAACCTCCCACCTTTCCCCATCCAACTCTCCCAAAACAACAGGTGCTTTGAAGGTCAGCCTGAAGCATCCCTGAAGCTCGGTGTCCCCAAACCTCCCACCGTTCCCCTTCCAACTCTCCCAAAATAACAGGTGCCCGTTTCCCCCCCGCTCCTCCGCAGTCATTGACGGCCCGACGCAGATCCTGGTGCGGGACGTCTCCGACACGGTGGCCTTCGTGGAGTGGACCCCGCCGCGCGCCAAGGTGGACGCCATCCTGCTGAAGTACGGGCTGGCGGACGGGGAGGGCGGCAGGACCACCTTCCGCCTGCAGCCCCCCCTCAGCCAGTACTCCCTGCAGGCCCTGCGCCCCGGCGCCCGCTACCACCTCGCCGTCAGCGCCCTCCGGGGTGCCAACGAGAGCCGGCCAGCCTTTGCCCAGTTCACCACAGGTAGCTAGCCGGCCTTGCTGGGAGAAGCGGTGGGAATTTTTGAGCCTCCGGCAAGCACGGGCAGGTGGCTTGGTGCCGTTTGCAGATGGGCTGTCCTGCAACAAGGAGGGAAAATGGAGGGGTTTTTGCGTCTGGGGTTAGTGATACCTCTTTTTCTCCTGGCACGAGTGAGCTGGGGTTTAATGTGGTGTGCTAGGAGGAAGAAGTGGGATGAAAAACACAGTGGTTAAGATGCAGGTGTAAATGCTGACACCTGAATGCAGGTGCCTTGCATCCTGTCAGAGAGCCAGGCAGAGCAAATGATCCAGCTCACCCTAAAATACACACTCTAAAATTGCCCTCTGCCCCACCACTGCTAGTGGCTGCTTAGCCACTAAATGTCCAGTGCAAAAGGTCCTCCTTATGCCCTGTGCCCCACAGAGATGCTCATATAGTCCCCAGGGCAGTCCAGGTGATCCCATATGCCAGTGGTGAGGCATGGATGGACTCAACCCCCCATATTTAGATGACAAACCCCAAGCCAACCCCATCTTGTCCATGTCTTGCTACAGTATCAAGGCTGAAGCTGCCTGGGACACATATCCCCACCAGCTCCAGTGCCCGTTCAGACCCACAGCTTAGAACTCCAGAACTCAGCAGTTTACGTCCTTAAGAGCACCCATAGCTCAATGCACAATTCTCAAAAGCACCAAAATGCTCAGCCCAGGTCTGAGTTCAAGGGGACATTCACTCCCACTCAGCATCATAAGCCAAGGCAGGTGCCTTGACCAAGGAATCAGCAGTCAAGCAGCTGAAACCAGCACATCCAGAAACATGGTTATTTTATGTCTTCTCTGAACACTCTAACTGGTCAGTAAAACTTTAATTAATGTTAAGCCTGCAGATAGCTAAGGGATTTAATTTACCATGCTATAAAGGAGGAGTCAGAGCGTGTATTTCCGTGCTGGTTTACGGTATATAAATTGTCATGTACATTACTGCTGGATACGAGGCTCCTACTGTAATAACTGTGGTACGTGAATTGTGTGTGTATATATCTCTGTAGATAAATATTTCAGATGAGATGCTTACCCCAACTGATTTGCTGCATTGGCCTTCCTTGCTTTATTTCTAAAAGGCAACATAAAAGCACCCCCCCCCCCCCAAACTCAGGTCCATCACCATTACCCAGTGTCCGCTGGTGCCCAGCCCCAGCTGTTGCTCACTGGAGGGGTTTATTGGGCACACCAGAGCAGATTCAGTACACAGCCTAAGCAGCACCAATAAACAAACCCTTTGGGCAGTGTCTGAGTGTGAACGAGCCTGTAAAGCTGCTTTGGTTTTCTTCTAAGAGCAGTCCAGGCCAATGCATGGCTACTACAGAGCCCTTTTTCTCTTACTCACAGTGCCTCAGTTTCTTTTACTTTAATGTGAGGGAAAAAGGTTTTCTTTCTGAAATAACATGGAACTTGCTGCCAAGCCAGCTTACTGAGGATGCTGTGAGTGCCCAGCATCTGCATCACCCTCCTGGGTGGCATCTCACAGCCTGTGCTGCAGGAGGTGAGAGCAAATGTTCCAGCCTTTCCTGCCAGGACATGCTCTGAGGAGGAGGGGACCTCCTGGATGTCCCACCCAGGTACCCCTCTGTGGTCTTTAGGATGAGAGAAGAGATGAATCTGACTCCATGTTCCCAGAAGGCTGAGATATGATATGATATGATTGATATGATATATGATACTATGCTATACTAAAACTATACTAAACTATAGAGAAAGGATACATCAGAAGGCTTAACAAGAATGATAGTGAAAACTCGTGACTGACTCCTTGGAGTCCAACACAGCTGGCTGTGATTGGTCATTAAGTAAAAACAATTCACACGTTGGAAAACAATCTCCAGACCTCATTCCAAAGCAGCAAAACAGGGAGAAACTGAGGCTTCTCAGCTTCCCAGGAGAAAATCCCGGGCAAGGGGATTTTTCCAGAAAACATGACAGTGGCACCGCTCCGCTGCCGAGGCGAGGCGGCGGGGCGCGTTCCCAGCGCTGAGACGGTGCCTCTCTCCCTTGTGTTGCGCAGAGATCGACGCTCCCAAGAACCTGCGGGTGGGCTCGCGGAGCCCCGCCAGCCTCGAGCTTGCCTGGGACAACAGCGAGGCCGAGGCACAGAGCTACAGGGTGGTCTACAGCACCCTGGCCGGGGAGCACTACCACGAGCTCCTGGTGCCGCGCCACGCCGGTCCCACCACCCGGGCCACCCTCGCAGGTACGCGTGCGCCCTTCCTCCTCCTCCTCTGCAGCAGGTAGGGCAAAGGAGATCCCAAATCAGCACCAAGACTCAGGTGCACTTGTGCTGGCACACGTTTGAGGTTGTTTTGGAGTTTGCTGTTTACTGGAGAGAAGGTTTTCTTGGGATAGAGCTCGTTTTCCCCTGTGTGGGTCTGGGTACACCTCCAAGTAATGCACCTGCAGCAAGGATCTGTCCAGGTGGCAAATAGAGCTGGCAAGGAGTAAAGGGAGAAATGGGAAGAAGTCTGTTTAGGCTGATCTACGGGAAAATATTATTTCACCCTTCTCTTTTTTGCTTGTTTGGAAAGAGCCATGGGTGATGATGCCCCGTGGGCAGTGATGGGGAGCCAGGCTGCCCTGGTTTTGTGCCTTTTACCAAACTGGGCTCAAAGCAGACCCAAATCTAGAGATACTGGTTTTGAGCAAGTCCTTTAAGTGGTACATTATTCAGGCCAGCACAGAGGCTGCAAACACCACCCACCTCCCACTGCCAGGAAAGCCCCAACACCTTATACAGCAACACAGCAAAGCACCACGTGAGATGTGATTTCCTTGTTTTTTGATTAGAACTGCTTACCTCGTGGATTTGCTGCTCTGGTGGCATATTTTGAGCAAAGAAAATAATTATATGCAAAAATGTTCTCTCATTCATCTTGAAGTTCTTCAGTATGGCAGGACACCAGGTTCTTCCATGTTGACTCTCTGCCTTCCCAGGACCTTCAAGGGCTCAGGAATGTGTCATATGAAGTTATAGGAGAAAGGTCAGTGGGAAAGCCAAAAGTTGAGTTACAGGCACAGCAGCAGAGTCACAAGAAAGGCTGGAGGGCAGCAAGGCAATTAGAGCAGTTATCTTGAAAAATGTGGAATGCAGAAAGAAGAAAAACATCAGGGCTGGTTTCTTCTGTGTTCTTGATGAGGATGCGTGGGGAGAAGTAGGATGAGATCAGAGACTCAGTGCTGGACTCCTGCTACCTTTCCTTTAGGACATTTATTGGCTTTCTAGGTGAGAAGAAGCATTAAAAATGGGCCAAATCCTCCTCCCTGGGCAGAGGCACAACAGTGACACAGGCTGAGATGATATCCTTGAGCTTGCCTTGGAATATATGGTCGCCTGAAGTCTCTTGTTTCTCTCAAAAAAACCTGAAAAAGCTGCCAAGGCTCTTCCAGACTCAGGCAAGGCTGCAAGAAACCCAACCAGAGCAAGCTGCAGAGATGCAGATTCTTAAGTCAGTTGTAAAGAATGATTTTTATATGGTGCCTACATCATCACTCAAGTGCATTGCTTCCTATCCCCAGTGTACTATGTCATAAACAAACCAATTAAAAAAAACCCCAAAACAATCTAGTCATAGCAGAAAATAATTAAAAAGCCATTCTGCTAGGAAAAAAAAAAAAAGCTATGAAAAGCTATGATAGTCATAGTGTGGATGGCACATGAGCCTCTCCCATAGCTCTGTTATATACAGAGTATTCATGTCCTCCAGTCTTGCTGGACATTGTGCAAAACCCATTGGGGTTTTTTTTCCAGTGACCCAGGACCTTGTGGGATCCCTGGTAGGAAAGCAACCAGCAATTCTTTCAGCCAGTCTCATCTACCTGCAGGAAAAGCAGTGTGGAATGGCACTAAGCAGAGTTTATAACAGATTTACATTTAAAAGTGCAGCAAGCCTGGCCCTGACCCTAATAATCTCTATTAAAAATCAGCATTTGCACAGAAATAACCATAATTTTGCTTATCCCAAAATAGCTGGGAGAGAAAAGCTTTATATCCTCCTGTTCATTTCTTCCTTCTCCTTCCCTTCTGCCAGGCTCTTCTTTCCAGAATACTTCTGACACTTATTGAGCAGGGCCAAGGGGGTCCATCTTCTCCTCATCACCAAGACTGCAATGCAGCAAGAGAAAATCAGGGGAGGAGAGTTTCCCTCTCTCCTGACCTCTTGGGAAAGGTTTTGGTGGCTCCAGGGGATGCTGCCCCTGGGCAAGGCACGGTGAGGCTGAGCTGGAAAGTTTATGGCTTTTTCTAGCTTTGTGGGAAAGATCATGAAGCACAGGGAAGAGGGGAATAAAGCCACCTGCAGTCAAGCAGAAGTGATAGGCAGAGGCAAGAGATATTCTGTGGAGATAAAGCAGTGCAAGAAGAAAGGAGCTGGATGAGCTCAATTCCCAAGTTCCTTGAGAGAGGCACCTCAGGATAGGTCCACCCTAAAGAATAGGGCTTTATTCAGCTCCCAGAAATACTGCACCTTTCCCAATTAATGTGCATTTCATTTACTCTGCATAGTTTATTTCTCTCCAAGACACCAGCCCTGTGACAATATTTGATGTTGCATCACTTTGGAAAAATATAGCTACTTTATCGTTCCCATCTCAGCTCACACACACAAGAGCTTCTGTCTCACCACCAGCAATTGCAGCAGACCTCAGCAACAACTTTTAAAAATGGCTTGTTTCTGAGCTAAAATAACCCAAATTCCCTGTCCAAAGGCATTGACAGGACTTTTTGAAAAGACTCAGCTCTTCTGCAATGTGCAGAGGAACTGCTGACCTATGGGGGAGCTGCTAACCACAGGGATGCCCCGGAGGGCCCTCCTGTGCCCCCACCTGTGGGAGCTGGAAGAAGGGGTCACACACAGCCTGAGGTCACCCTGCCAGGTGCTGCTCTCAAACCCTGTCATGTTCTTTGCACTCCCTGGTAGATCTGGTGCCGGGAACAGAGTATGGCATCGGGATTTCAGCCGTGATGGACAGCCAGCAGAGTGTGCCAGCGACCATGAATGCCAGGACTGGTGAGTTTGGCCCCACTGCCTGCTCCAAGCACAGCTGGCTGCTATGGCTCAGATGCCCCCATAGGACAGTGTGTGCATGGGGACAAAGCTCTGCCCCAACCCTCTTCCACAGAGCTTGACAGCCCCCGGGACCTCCTGGTGACAGCCTCCACTGAGACATCCATCTCACTGGCTTGGACCAAAGCCACAGGTCCCATCGACCACTACCGCATCACCTTCACCCCTGCCTCAGGAATGGCCTCTGAAGTGACAGTGTCCAGGGATGAGTCTCAGCTCACCCTCTCGGAGCTGGAGCCCGGGACAGAGTACACCATCTCTATCATTGCTGAGAGGGGACGGCAGCAGAGCCTGGAGGCCACTGTGGATGCCTTCACAGGTAGAGAAACACAAGCTGGGATGGGGGCAAGGGTACAGACCTTGTTGGCATCTCTGCCAGCCCACTGCATCCCTGGCACCAAAACCCGTGAGGTGGTGATGGGGATGAGGGCTGGGGTCAATGTATCCACACAGGAGCAGTTGACCTCAAAAGGAGGATGGCCCTACCCATATGGTGGCACAATCCCTTTGGACAGAAGCACTGAACACACTTGCTTTGCTGGACAACACAGAATTGGGGAAAACAGACAGCCCTCTGCTGTCCTCTGTGGTCAGGGTGCCCATAAGAAGAAGAAGTGAAGCCTTGGGGGACCTCAAAAGGACCTCTGGCTGAAAAGTGTGCAGTCATGAAGTGCAGACAACATATACCATCTGCAGTGGGACAGTTCCATCACCCACTGTATGGGTCTGGGATGGAGGATGTTTGCAGGTGGAGCTGAGAGAAGCACCATTTTTCCCCTCCTGGTTCTGCCTGTTGATCCCAGCAGAGTTTCAGATCAATGGAGAGCCCAGACCTTCAGCTTTGCCACCTCTTTTAAGTATTTCCCATTCAAGCACTGGGAAAAATGCAGAGGTAAGGATCTGCAGATGGTTGGGGTTGCATCTCTCCTCTCCATCTTCCAGGTGTTCGGCCCATCTCACAGCTGCACTTCTCCCAGCTGACATCCTCCAGTGTGAACGTCACATGGAGTGACCCATCCCCACCAGCAGACCGCCTCATCCTCACCTACAGCCCCCGGGATGAGGAGGAGGAGGCACAGCAGGTCACACTGGATGGCACCCGCAGGCACACCAGCCTGACGGGCTTGCAGCCCTCCACCGAGTACCTGGTGTCACTGGTGGCCGTGCACGGCACCATCAGCTCTGAGCCCGTCGTGGGCTCCATCACAACAGGTACCACGGGACACCCCCCACCAGGCACGGGACAGCACCGGGGAGGGCAGGCAGGGGCACGGGGAGTGGACCTGCCTCCCACAGCTTTTCTTTGTGCTCCGTCTCACCAGGGATTGATGCACCAAAGGACCTCAGGGTGGGCAATGTCACCCAGGAGTCCATGATGGTCTACTGGAGTGCTCCCATCGCTGCCTTTGACCACTACAGGATATCCTACCGTGCTGCCGAAGGTAACGGGCCAGAGCACTCCTGTTCATGCCCTGAGCTCACAGCTGCCAGCCCTCCCTCCATCCGCTGGCCCAAGCAAGCCACTGGGTCATCCTCGCCCAGGCAGCATCTCAGTGCCTTGGGCAAAATGACGATAACTGGGATTTGCTCCAGGGCAGAGGATGGGGTGACTGGGATGAGGATGAGAAGGGACCACTGCAGCCAGCTGGGCACAGAGGGACACACAGAATGGCCCCCAGCAGTGTGCCCTCCCCAGAAATGGTTAAATTCAGGGCTCAATCCTGAAATCCCAGCTCCCTCATCTGCTTCACCTACCTCAGCTCCCTTGGCCCTAGTTTTGTCAGTGATGCTGGAAAGGCCAGACCAGCAGAGTGATGGGCACACAGGAGTTGCACCTGCAGGCACGAAACCCAGTTACCTCCAGTGTCTTGTGGAACCTCCCAAGCCCCTCCTGAGCCCCAGGGATGGGGCCAGCCGTGATGTCAAAGATCTTGGCTCCATCTCTGCAGGAAGGACGGACAGCATGACCATCTCCAGGGATGCCACCGAGTACACCCTCCAGGACCTGCAGCCTGCCACCAAGTATGAGATCGAGGTGAAGAGCGTGCGGGGCCGGGAGGAGAGTGAGCTGGCCTCCATCACTGCTTACACAGGTGGGAAGGAGCTCTTGGTGGGCAGGGAACAACCAAACAGTGTCAGGTCCAGCCCTGCCCAGGGCTGGCAGTCCCTGCTTGCACTTATACTCAGGTGACTGAGAGCAAGCTGGACCTCACACCAGCTGGATGCAAGCTGGAGATGATAAGCAGGGCTCACAAGGGCTCAGTGTGAGCTTTTGAAGTATGTCTCAGCAAACTTTATCCCAAGTATGCATGGGTAGTCATGGGTAAAAGTGATAAACTTGTGTACCAGGCACAGCAAAGCCAGAAACATGATGCTGGGCAATCATGACAACCTTTCCCAAACAGAGTACAAATTTCCAGAAATAATCCCTAGGGAAGCCCTGTCACAAACAGCATCTGCTGCAAGAATAAAACCTTCTGCTATCCCCAGACTCCTCAAAGCCTAAAGAAAACCCCTAACAAGCCAGACTGGGCATTTAGAAAAGAGTAGAAGAGCAGCCAAAAACACAAGCTACGACATCTCTGCATTCTAGCTTGGGCAGCACTAACTCCTGTGCAGGCACATGTGTCTGGGCAGCAGGGTAGGACACCGAGCAATATGCCACAAGAAGCCCTCCCAGTTCATAGTCCAGTCTCCTAATGCCTCTGACTCTCTGGATCACTCTCCCATGCAGCCATGGATGTCCCCCTGGGGGTCACGGCCACCAACATCACTCCCACCGAGGCGCTGCTGCAGTGGAACCCGCCGCTGTCGGAGGTGGAAAGCTACGTCCTCATCCTTACCCGCCGTGCAGGTACACCAGGGCTCTGTCTCAGCTCACCTCCACCTCTCTCCCATCCCAAAGCCCAGGGCTCAGTGGGTGCCCTTCACAGAGGGAGAAGGGGAGGAGCCTTGCCTTGGGTTTTTATAGGGATTGTGGGAAAATTACCCTTCAGACTGAACAGCACCACTACAGCTCAGCTGCTGCACAGGTCATATCCAGAGACACATTTTGGAGAATCGCCCAGAATATCTACCCTAACTCATCCCTTTTTTCCTTACAGTTGCAGGAGAAACAATTCTCGTGGATGGAGACAGCCAGGAGTACCAGCTGACCAACCTGCTGCCCAGTACCACCTACACAGTTTCTATGTATGCCACCAGCGGGCCTCTCACCAGCCAGACCGTCAGCACCAACTTCACCACTCGTACGTACAACCACTTCCCTCACTCCTCATCCCTAGCCATGCACTCACCCCAGGAAAAGCAGCCAGCAAGGCTGAGCCAAAGCCCTTGTTACATAGCTCTTGTGGGTGTAGAGTTAGTCACGTGCCAAAAGGACACTAATACCAATCCCAAATACCAGTGCAGGGCACAACACAAGAACACAATTTTAATCAACCAGCATCAACCATTATTTTCACTCTTTCATCATCCATCCATCCATCCATCCCTCCCTCCCTTTCTTTTGGTGATTTCCCCTGGCTGTGGCTTCCTGAGCAGACCCCTGACTAGGTCTGGTTTTTTGCCCAAGGCCATTGTCCAGAAGAACACAACAACCCGTTTTGCTTGACAGGTCCCATAGCGCATGAATTTCACAGCTGTGACCCTTAAGGTGGCACACACATAGAAAAGGACTTCTAGAGGGTTTGCAGAGCTCTGTTCAAGGGAACATCTGGGGATGGTGATGAGGTCTTGGAACTGAGGGTGAGGATGGACTTTGGGCTGTAGCTCAGTGCTGCAAGGCTGAATCTCGGTGTACTGAGCTGGGAAGCAAGGTTGAGGTGGTGGTGTGTGAGAAATTGCACTTCCCTGTGTCCCTATCCACTCTTGCAGTTTTGGATCCTCCAACCAATCTGACAGCCAGCGAAGTCACCCGACGGAGTGCCCTGCTGTCCTGGGTTCCTCCCGTGGGAGAGATCGAGAACTATGTCATGACCTACAGGTCCACCGATGGCAGCCGGAAGGTGAGCGAGCCCTCACACCAAAGAGCCTCATTCAGTCAGGGAATAATAAGACCGTGTTAAAATAAGCAGGAGAAGCCAAACAAAGCAAAAGAATGATGCTCAGTGGCTCAGGGAGGCCAGAAGGACAGACACTAGTTCCTGCTAAGCAGGATGATATGAAAAAGCAAGAAGAGATTGCCTAATGTAAAATGTTGATGCACACCTACTGGTCTGGGCATAGAGGGGTTACCTGGAAAGATTGGAGGAACAGGGGCAATTCTCAGCTTGTGAAACACATGCAAGCTGAGGCAGGAGAATATTATTCTGCAGAGATGCTAAAAAGGCCATTTGCCCTTCCTGTAAAAAGGAAGATAGGCACAGACAGGTAATTAATTCTGCAATACAATACATTTGATTATTTAATGAGTGTGTCCACATCTGCTGTCTGAAGGAGCTGCAACAAACACTATCAGAAATACATCATGGCAAACAGTTTGATTTCCTTTGCCGGTGTGATTGGCTTGCAGCAGCCAGAGGATAATAGCTTTGCAAAAGGGGTCTGATAATGCTGTGTGACACTGGCCAACAGCCAGAAAAATTAACATGACAGGAATCAAGGGAGTCAAAACTGGCTGATAACCAGGTTTGGCCAGCTCAATTTCTTGCACTGTTTGGGCAATCAGTCACATCTTGTACTGAAGGCACGCAGGTCCCAACAGACCCAGCTGACAGAGGACACAGACTGCAAACATTTAAATCTGTCTCCAAACCAGGTTGCTTTCCCTCGCCCAAACCATTCTGAAATGTTGGCTATATTGGCTGATCTCACGTTCACTCAGTCCAGGCGTCTAAGCAGTCATGCAATGCTCCTCAGCCAGGCTCCAAGGGCTGCAGTAGTTTGTGGCTTCCCTTCCCTCCTCACTTGCTCTTTAGGCTCCCCATTGCTTTTCTCATCTGTTGCTCTTGGTGTCTACCTCCTTCTGGGACCCATGTACAGGAGCTGATTGTGGATGCTGAGGACACGTGGATCCGTCTGGAGGGGCTTTCTGAGACCACGGAGTACACAGTGCACCTGCAAGCTGCCCAGAACGCCATGCGGAGCGGCCTCATCTCAACCACCTTCACCACAGGTGAGGACTCACACTGCATGCACCCACACAGCTGGAGCCTGGCCCACGGCTCATGATGGTAGGAATGGACTGCTCCTAGGGACTTTCCCTCCTCAGGCAGCATTCCTTCATGATCCACAGAGGGGTACTTACAATGCCGCGACCCACGGCAGTTAATGGCTGAAGGATCTATGATTTAAACACAAGACCCAGACCAGGACAAAGGGATTTGAGCTTCAGACCAGGAACCATCTGCCAGGCCCTTTGCCTTGCCCATGTCCATCCTCAAGTGCATAAACAGAGGAAAAAACACCCACTAAAATCAGCAACATATATCAACAGGAATGCCGCTGGGAGAGGACCCAGCCAGTGTCTCCATGCTGTGGGCATGATCTGATTGCTCACAAATATCAAAGAATCAGAATACTTTGGGTTGGAAAGAATCTTTAAAGGTCATCTAGTTCAATCCCCCTGCAGCGAGCAGGGTCATCTTCAACTTGATCAGGTTGCTCAGAGCCCTGTTGAATTTGACCTTGAAAGTTTTCAAGGTCAAATTGAAAACTTTCAAGGTCAAGTTGGGGTATCCCTGGAAATATCAAGCAGGTGCATCTCCACCACCACTAGTGGAGTCACAGCAGAGCCAGCACTTTATGTAATTCCATTATTCCTCCCCACTCTCATTCCAGAGCATTCACTATCCACTAAGGCACTAAAGTAATGGGAATGGTTTTGTTTTGAAATCCACAGTCACCACGACCCTCACAGAAAGAACACTTACTCTTTCAAGAATGAAGCTTGCATGAGAATGTCACCATTGCTCCCATCCTCTGCAACCATTTATAATAGAAGTTATACAAAGCAAATTGTCCCTCATCCTGTTTGAAAAGCGTGGCTAGGCCAGGGCACTTAGAGACAGAATGCATCTTCTTCAGGGCTGAATACAGTCATGTTTTTCCTGGGCCTCAACTGCACTGAGAAGTCTCCAGATGATGTCCACCAAAATTCCTCCCATCTGTGCTGCCAGTTTAATTCTCAAATTAGGAGAATTTTCTTTGAATCTGCTGTGGATACACGTACCCATCTCAGTTACATGCAATGGTCTCTTCACCTGCTTTTAAGAGATAACAGAAACTATTTACATCAACAAAAAAAAGAAATTACTTCTCTAATACATCTACAAAACATGCTTTCCTGTTGTTCTTGCCTCTTACACATGTGCATAAATGCAGTAAATTTCAGGCAGGTGATAGAAGAAGACAGGTAATCTTTAAGGCTGCTTGGGAGTCAGGGATGAAGCTGCATGGGGGTGACTTCTCAGGTGGGATAAAGCAGCAGAAACCCCCTTATGTCAGGCAAGAAGAGCACCTTTCCCATCAAACAGAAGCGTCAGACCTCAGCAACATGAGTTCCCATTGTCAGCTGATGGAGCATCAAACACACTTAACTTGCTTTGAAGATGAAGATAGGCATTGGCAACAAGTCAGTTTCTCCCCACTTGCCCCAATATTGATGAGACAGAAGCAAGCAGGAGCTATCACCAAGGCAATGCAATCCATGGACAGCATCTCTCATCAAAGCATCCAGATCTGCAATTCAGTTTACTCTGGCAATGCATCAAGGCAATTTGCAGAGAAAAGGACTTGTCTTTAAGGACAAAAATAAAAAAAAAGGTAAAGAAAGTCACCCAGGCTTAATTTAAATTGTTTTGCTTCCTTCTGCTTAAAGTACACATCCCGGGGTTCTTCTATTCCCCCTAACATATTAATAGCTCAGCCTCTTTTGTTTCATGTTTGCATAAGGTTCTTGGGGAATTGTATACAGATGAGACAAAAGGAAGAAACAGATACAGTATTTATAATTTATAGTGGTTTGAAATGTCTTTCAAGGTCTCCTTGGCTCTTAAAGACATGAATACAAATTAAGAAACAAGCAACTCCACAGAGCTCAGGGGAGCCCAAAGTGGTGTTGTTGAAGAAGTTTTCATTGTTGGATACTATAAAATACTAACAATGTCTCACCAGGCTGTGCTACAGACCATGAAGGTGGGGAGAAAAAAATAGAGGAACTTTTCATTTGGACACAGCAATGACTTTCAAGTCTTCACGTCACAAGGTGGGGGGAATACACCCACGTGGGAAGCAACAGACAAGGGTTGTGCCTTGGTCCTGTGGGGCACTACACAACTGTGATGGACACACAGAGCACAGATCTGAAGGTCCCTCGCACCTTCTCAGTTTGTTACAGAGACATCCTTGAAAACCATGCCACATTGCCAGCTCTGCACTCATTTATTCCATCATCCAAACGTAGCAACACCAAAGAAAAAGATGTATTTCCCTCTTCTGTCTTAAATTAAAAAAAAAAAATAAAAAATGTTCCCAGAGTTGATATTCCAATGCTGCCAGAATAATTGTCATAATTAAGACTCTCCTAAACTCTGACCACAAAATAAGATTCTTCCTCCTTAGAGAACACCTGTAGCACAGTCACACAGCCCATGCTACCTACCTCTGGCATCTCACACAGCCTCATTCCTGCTCAGCTTGCAAGTGACAATTAGCTCAGCATAAATCCACCATCATTTCCAAGGGCATGGAGAATCAGGAGAATCCCCCTGGAATGAGTACTGTTATAAAACTTGATTAGAGCTGGCAGTCCTGAGAGGAGAACAGGTTTTTGGTATTTTCACAGCTGTCTAAATATGCTGGTGACAGCTTAAACCCCAGGGTTTCAGACACAGTGCAGAAAGATGGTCCAAGAAGTGACATCCCTCATCATTCATTGTGACGTTACCATGCACCCTTCCAGTATAAGGCATATGGAAGAATAATTAATATATGCACACTTTTTTTTTCCAGTAAGTCCTCTGAGGTCGACGGCAGATATAAAGTCTCACCGCCTCGTGGAATTACTTGGAATGCAGAAGCCAAGACAGACTTTTCCTGTATTGTAACTAGTGGAGCCTGAAGCATGGGGAAAAGATGTCTCTTTGCATGAATTTTACCTTTTTTTTTTTTAAATGTTACTTTTCAGGAGGACGTGTGTTTGCTAACCCTCAGGACTGTGCCCAGCACCTGATGAACGGAGACACGCTGAGCGGGGTCTACACCATCTCCATCAACGGGGACCTCAGCCAGCGGGTGCCCGTGTACTGCGACATGACCACTGATGGAGGTGGCTGGATTGTGAGTATCCATGTGGCATGTTGTCCCCACCACAAAGTAACTGAGCCCCTACCAGCAAAGCACGGGAATGACAGCAGGCTCAGCATCGCACGCTTCGTTTCGCACGCCGCAGGGAATGGCCCACGCTCCGGTAATAATAGTTACACTTGGAGAAATGCCCTTTGATTTATTTGGCATGTTTGCAGTGCTTCTGGAGAGCAAAATCTGTGAGTGAAGCTGATTTATTGTTCTAGAAATGAAATTAATGGCTGGTAGGTTTCACGGGGAATGATTCACACTGCCTGCAGAAGGAGGGTGTCAGGCCTCACCCCAATTGAGTCTGCACAGGAGAACTTTAGAAACAAATGCCTGTTTGGCTTTTGAGCTGCACAAACACTGCCTGTCTTGACGTAGATGGACTGACAGTGTAAGTAAATAATGCCACGGTGCTTTGATCTTATTCATGTCAAACTCTTACTTACACACATTACACAAAACCCTGCTAGATGTATAGTCAAAATCAAAAAAAAAAAAAAAAAAAACAAAACGGGCTTCCTCAAATGCTGATTTCTAGCCAGTAAATTTCCCTCTCACTCTGCTTCAGAGCATCTCCTTGGATGCCACAGAAACACCCAGCTCAAAGCAGAATTACATGCTAGAAAACCAGAGGAACCATGAATTAGTTAAGGCAGAAACCTCAAAGGCCAAATCCTTCCTATTCTACCATTAATTTGCTTTGGACATTATCTGCTATCTCTTTGTTTCTACACCTGCACATGAATTAATTGCATGCCCGCAATTAATACTAACTGTATGGGCATTGCAATTTTCTCCCCTGAAAGGCACAGTGGAAAGAAAAATTATTATCTTTACCTTGCGTGTCCAAAGCCTGGCAAAGCTGTTTCTCATTTCCATCACTGTGATTTTCCCCTGGTCTTCCTCCACATCAGGTCTTCCAGCGGCGGCAGAACGGGCTGACCGATTTCTTCCGGAAATGGGCAGATTACCGGGTTGGCTTTGGAAACTTGGAGGATGAGTTTTGGCTGGGTATGACCTTCCCTGATTGCCTTTCACTGATGTGTCAAACCTAAGTTCCATAAGCACTGTGTCAGCTGTTGGCTCCTTGCCCTTCACCACATTCCTCTACCTTCTCCCTCAGACAGTTTTCCTTCTGTTCATTCCCTGCCCTTCACTTTAGGAGCTCATGCAGAGGCACACCACATAAAGGCACACTGTGAAGGTTAACAGCTCCCTAGTTTGTTCTCTCTAGGAGAGAAGAGGGGTATGTATGCTGTCAGTTTTCATGGACCAAAACCCATCATTGTCCACTGGATGACCACAGGTTCCACTGGTGGCCAGAAAGTCAGCTGTCCAATGAAAGCAGGAAAGGAGGGAGTGGGAGACAGCACAGCTCTGAAATTGAGTGTGCTCCTCCAAAACCTGAACATGAGCCAAAGGCACCTGCAGCATAAACACACTCTGGCTTGTATCGAGCTTAACAACAACATAAGTAGCACCAGGGCTCAACAGCTGAATGTTCCAAGCTCCAGCAGCACGAAGAAATCTGAAGCTGGGCCTTGAACCTACCACTCATAGACACAGGGAAGTGAAGCTCGAGTGGGGACAGAGAGCTCAGACCCCAGCAGTGCCAGGAGGTACACATACTCGCCACAAGTGCTGCTGCTCTTTGATTCCTCTCCTTGCTCTCATTTCCCACTGCTGTTTTATTTGCCTAGAGCTTTCCTTGTTTGTTCACGGAGTGGATCCGGCCCCAGGCCTCACTGGGTGTTTCACTGTCTCGACAGGCTTGGACAACATCCACAAGATCACATCCCAAGGGCGCTACGAGCTGCGAATAGACATGAGGGATGGTCAGGAGGCAGCGTACGCCTACTATGACAAGTTCTCCATTGGCGACTCCCGGAGCCTCTACAAACTGCGGATTGGGGACTACAATGGCACTTCAGGTACAGCCTCAGTGCTAGCAAGGGTCCTGGGAAATCCTGTGACTGGTTGGACTGATTTCCAAGGTAAAGGAAATCCCAACATGAAAACCCATAGTCCTTTCTGCCTTCCTGCAGTCCATCATTTAAACCAGGCTGATAAATCCCACTAAGGACACAGGATTTTCCATTGGGGATTAGATATTTAATATCAGAGACATTGCTGTTCGAATAACCAGGTCAACCATCAGAGGTGTCATCTCACTTGGCAACAGCCACAGCTGGCTATTGATGTCGTGCTGGAGGCTGTATTTATTGCCTTTCCACAGCTATGGAAAAATCTGAAATCCTCTGAGTCGTTTCCTCACGTAAAGGCCAAACACTGCCCACTTTTGCAAGGACACTGTCACACCTGCTTACCTGGTTGATTCAGAGGAGTTAGAGTTGCCCATCAGAAGAGAGTGGGTGCTAGAGGGAGGGCACAGGGGATCTCTTCCTCAAGAAGGGAGAAGGGGTACAACTGTAGCCCCTTCATCTGGGATAGACATGCAGAGTGCAAGCCCCCATGATGGAATTTCCACCATGTACTAGGTGGAACCCCACAACATACCCAAGATGCAGGAATTTCCCTATTCAATACCAGTTAGTTGCCACTGGAAGAGAGGTGAGAGGAATCTTGATGGTGTGCAACAAGCACTTGCTCTAACCTCAAATCCCAGGGCACAAAGCACCCAACCTACTGCCAAGGATGGCAGTAATAGTCCCTCCATGGCTGGATCGCACACAGCCAGCATGGGTCCACTTCATATGTCCTTAGGGATTACCAAGGAGCATATTTATGTCTCCTGTAAATACATCACTCAATTCACCATATTTTACTCTGGCTTTTCTTTCACAAAAAAAAAAACAGCTGCCTAGTTACCCAGTATCAAGTTAGAGGTTTTGGTGGAGTAAGACATCACACACCTTCCAAAAAGCTTCTTTTCCTTATCCAAAGAGAGAAAAGGTGGCCAAGCATCTTGGTTCAAGTGATGAATGTCTGGTCTCCTTTGAGAGAAAAAGCTCCCTTTGACTAACAGGAAAGAAGGAGGCTGAAAGCATCCTGAAGTTATATAGCAGAGCCAAGCCTTGGGAAGTCAGGGATGCCAAAATTTGGGATTGAATTATTTTCTGAAACACTGCAATTCAGATCCAAACACATATCCAAGCACTTCGTCTGACAAAGCCAAGAAGTCTCTAGGATTTGCTACAGTCTGCACTGATCCTAAACAGACAGCAGAGGACCTCAGATGAGCCAGTTGTGAACAATTCCAGTTAACATTATCCCCAGACTGCCAGCTGTTAGTGCCATTGATTGGAATGGTTACCACAAACCCAGAATATCCCAATTTCCTTGTGAAAAGACCAGATACCTCAGACTCCATCACCTTTAACGGCACCTCTTTCCACAGGAGACTCCCTCACCTATCACCAGGGACGCCCCTTCTCCACCAAGGACAGGGACAACGACGTTGCTGTGACCAACTGTGCCATGTCCTACAAAGGGGCCTGGTGGTACAAGAACTGCCACCGCACCAACCTCAACGGCAAGTACGGCGAGTCCCGGCACAGTCAGGTAAGGGCACAGCTGGGTCAAAGCCTCTGGAATTTCTTCCAGGGGGACATGTCAGCAAGCCTTGGGGGTGGTCTGATTGGTGCACCAGGGTCAGAACTGGTGGCATCAGCCCACACCAGCTGGAGCAAAGGGAGCCACCTTCAAGCCAACTAGGCTTTGTGCCTCACACATGCTGCCATAGTCATTTGCTGTAGTGTGTTAGATTTAAAAAATTATCTACATGAAATTTGATCAGCCTTTTAGCAGTGGGAAAAAACCAATCAAGCTATAGAAGCAGGGGAGCTGCGTGCTCCTGCTATAGCAAGTTTTCCTTTTGGCTCCTCTACACCAATCAACTTTGTTTCCTTCCTCTCCCACTCTAGTTTCGTGTTAGGGCCTTTTCTTACCCTCTGCCTTTCTCTCCCTCCTGCCAGGGGATTAACTGGTACCATTGGAAAGGCCACGAGTTCTCCATCCCCTTTGTGGAAATGAAGATGCGACCTTACAACCACCGTAACATCTCTGGGAGGAAGAGACGGTCCCTACAGCTCTGAGCCAGCTGAACCCCTCCTGCCTCCCACCACCTGACCTTTTCTGTCATTTGTTTGTATTTTATAATATGAAAAGGGAAAAAAAAAATTACTACTCGTCTGAGATAGCAAGCTGCCCCTCACAAGTCCTGGAGGGAACCATGGCACAAGGAAATGCCATGGGAAAGGAAAGACCTCATTGCTTTGCATCTGTCCCAGAGAAATACCAAATTTCCAGTCTCCCTATCCCAATACTCTGGCCCTTAACATGAGAAGAAAGAGAAAGAGACAGATTTTTTGATATTTTTTTAAAAGACATAGAAATCCCCAGCAAACCCTGTTAGAAATGTTTGTCACAGGGCTTGTGGCAGAAACTTTCCCCACAGGTACCTTGGTGTGGCCATTTCCAGCCCAGTCATGGCCAGGCATGCCTGTCCCCTCCCGACTTCCCTGTCCCCTCCTGGCAGGGAGGTCCCAAGCTTCATGCCATCCTGTAGACACCAACCCTTCCAGCAGGCAGAGGCCCATCTCTCCCCTGTGTGCAGGCTCTGGACACATGGGGACTAAGTGAGGATGAGCAAAGGCTCTTTCCATCCTCAGTTTTCACAGGAGGGCTTGGCAAATATCTGCATACATAGGCAAACTCCAGAGAGTACACAGCTCCTGTGCTGGTCCCACCACAAAGTCATCCTCGTGTGCATGAGGTGTATGGGAATAAGAACTACTCCACCAGCCCCAGCCTTCATTATCCACTCCTCCAGGCTGAACACAGCCCATTCCAGGTCCATGATATCTGCCTGGGTTATGCTGATGGAAAAGAAAGGACTTAAATTAGAAGACTTGGGAGAAAAATCCCTACTTGTAGTCCTGAAATCTAGGACCCATTTCCTCTGTTATTTCTACATTCCATCATGCTCTCTCTCTCACTGAGGTCACTGGTCCCAAACCAAAGAGTCTCAGAGGAGGAGCAGCAATAAAAAGATATCACACAACTGCAGCCCAGCCTGAAGCCAGCAGCTGTCACAGCTCAGGTGCTCCTGCTCATGGCCCTCCACGCACACAGGGAATTATGGCAATGCAGCTAAGGCAAGAGAAGTGCAAGCTGAGGAATGCCCATGTCCTTCCTTCTCCTACACCATCCCTCTTCAATGCCATCACAAGAGGGACACAAATCTCAGTGCCTTGGAATTGCCAGCTCTCTAACAGGAAATCAAGTTTCCCCTCCTGGAAGGGATTCCATTCAGATTTTGGAGTGCTTCAAGGCCCTTGGAAGAATTAAGGAGTTCGCTCTTCCCACCCTTAGCTTCTCCTGTCTCAAGGAAGATGGGCCCTTTGGATAGCTCTCTCTGTGCCCTGTTGTTATTGTCCCCACCTCCACCCAGCCCAAATGACCACCGTGCTTGTCACTCCTCTCCAAGGACTCCAATCAATGCTGGGCATTGTCACTGGCCTGGTCTCCAAGAAGGAACTCATCCCTGCATCCAAGGACAATGCAGCTCATCACTGGATTTGCAGCCAAAGGAACATTACAAATGCTAAACACTGCTATCTGGTTTTATCACACTGAAGCTGCTTTGTCTCAAAAACAAATGTTGCATCTTTCAGATGGCATCATAAAGGCATTTGTGCAGTAGCTTATAATTCAGGCCAGTGTATCTTTTACGGTCACACTCCTTAATGTTCTGACGTTATTCATGATGGCTGCAGAGCTGAAGAAGAGCATTAAATAGGAAACACAACCTCCTTTTCCATGCCACATACTGGCACATGAAATCACAGCCAACACCGAGGTCAAGATTAGATACAGGGCCCAGTCCTTCAGTTTACAAGCTGATCTGGAGAAAGGATGCTCAGTAACATCTCATAGGTAAATGAAATGTCCCTTCTTACTTCCCCTTGGCATCAAATCAGGCAACAAGTCAACCAGTTGAGGAACAGGTGAGTCAGAGGCTGAAGATGTTGGGACCTCTTGCAGGACATGGCTGCTGTCACAAGATGGTGGCATGTCACTCCTCCTGAGCACCCAACCCTGCTTTAAGACCCAAAAGCCAACAAAAAGCAGCAAATTGAACCAATTAAACCTAAGAAGACTTTTAGTAGGCCAGCGGAGTAAATTTTTCTCCATCCATCAAGAATTTGTAGGAAGAACTATCCCAACAAAAGCTGTAATGGAGCAGTGGTTATAACCAGCAGAGATTGGCAGGGGCTGGTGCTGTTTTCTTACCTACCCAGGTGAAAGGAAGAGATGTCAGTGGAAACATACACTTATCATTCACAGTCAAGTGAAAGGCAAGAAACCTCTCTTTTCAAAAGTAAATCTCAAGCAGAAAGTTTGAAAAAAAAAAAAAAAAAACCAAAAAAAACACCAAACGCTTGCCAAGCTTTTTCTAGGAGGTTCAAAAGAATATCCTCAAAAAGGCTAATTATTCTCTAAAGAGGTTTACTGCTGACATATATCTCTCCCTCCCTCCTCATGTCTGGCATCCTTTGTACAAGTCCTGTAACCAGGATGAGTCAGCCCAGTTCACACAACTGCACAGTCAGGTATGAAATTGGACAATGTCCAATCTTTCAGTGCTATTATACATCAGTGCTGGCCCCTGACCTTTGATGGGATACCAGGATATCCTTTCCATGGCATTGGTGAAAGACAGTTGCTACAATCTTTTAAAGGAAAGATTTCTACACATCATGGTTTTCTCCTGGTGATAACCCAACCTAAGCCCAGGCACAAGAACTAGCAATGACGACCCAGACATTTGGGCCATTGTCCCTTGTTCACATATAAACAAGATAAATTTCCCAGAAAGTTATTTTTCTACATTGTCTTTTTTTTTTTTTTTTTTTTTTTTTTTTTTTTTTTTTTTGGACAAAGCTCTTGCCAGCAGTTTCAAGCAAATTTGTTCTTAATGTTGATGCTACAGAAGGCTCCATGATTAAGTAGTTTCTTCTCACCCTGCATCACTGAATGGTTCATTCTCCAGCTAGACCAGGTTTGGCCCTGAAATTCCCAGAAACCAAGCCTGGATCTGGTGCAGTGCTCATCTTGAGGGACCTTGGCTTCAGCATGTGAACTACCACTGGGCTCTGGTGGCTCCACTGCCATGCTGGGTTTGGGTGGCTCAGGCTTGTTCCAGAGCCCAAAAAGGAGCATGAGGCTGTTACCCAAAGCACACTATCCACTGCGAGATGCCATTTTGTGTAACAGGAAGCAGCACATCAAATCCTTCACACAGCAGAACACCATGTGTGCCCATGACCCTTGCAGCCTTTCAAAGCCATCTCTTATTTTTAACTCCAAAATCCTAGAGGGAAACACAAAGGGACTTTCATCTCTTGCCCAATATTCATTTCTCTCTGTTTCCATTCTCCAAGCCCACCTTCCCCTTGCACACTGCACTGAAACATAACCAAAGAGAAAAAGAGTCCTGAAAGGAAAATCTGCTTTTAATAAAGGGATAGCATCTATAAATGAATAATTTCTAGAAGGAGAGAGGCCAGGCTCTCCCCAAGGGTAGCTGGGTTTTGGTAGGAAGGTACCGGGTCAGTATCCACACAAAGGTTGGGGAGAAGTCTGCTTCTACTCCTTATCTTCGCATTACTTTACTCTCCCAAATTGGCCCTAAACCAGGCCACATGGGCATCTCAAAGCTTAGTACCAGCCTAAATGCACTCTTGGCCCAACCTCTTGCCTCCTTCCCAGAGGGGTGCTTATCCCAGCTGAAGTGCCCGGGTGTGGAAGGCGCAGCTCATGCCACCTTCACTCCTGGTGATGAACTGCTGAGGGCCCAGCCAGTGGTGTCCCCATGCCCACAACAGGCTCAGAGCAACCTGACAAAATGCAGCAGGATCCAAAGTACCCTCCTGGTGCCTCACCTCCATCCCAGCTCAGAGCTGCCCTCCTGCCGTGTCCCACCATCACATCTGGGGGTGACCATGCACCCCCTATCCTGAGCCCCCCAGACATGCCCACAAGTTTTGACTTTACCAAACACTGCCAGCAATGAACTCTCATCCCCAAAAAAGCCTTTAATTCATGCTTACACCCACTAACAAAGGGTTCTGCTCTGGGGCCAAACAAGAAGCTCATCCCTGTTTCTGCCAGTCAAACGCCCTGGGATGGCCACAAAACCCAAGAGTCCCCTGGGGTCCACCAGCACCTGCAGGGTCACCTTCCCCTTTCCTAAAATCCTGATGGTGGTGGCAGCTCCTTGCCCCCTCCAGAGGGGAAATTTGGGGTAAGTGGGAGGGAAAGACTCTTCCCTTGGGAGACCCTGATGCCTAGACCCACTCAATACCCAGCCTGCAGGTCTTCAGATGTAAGTGGCTTCTCAGAAGGATGGTGGCACAAAGACCTAAACAAACAAACAAACAAGCAGCCCCCTGTGTACAGGTGATATCCTGAAAATGTTCTTAATATGTTAAAAAAAGTTTAAAAACATAAATAAGAAGGGAGAGCAGAGGCAACGAAATGCCTCGAATAGATTCTGATGAAGTCAAAGATAAACCACTGGAACCAAATGAGGGGGAAAAGAAAAGTAAATAAATGCATAAATAAAATCTATAATATAAATAAATAATATATTAAACAACCTTCCCCACCCTGTAATGAAAATGTAGCTTGGAGAATGGGATCAACGCTTGTTAACCATTGTTAACTAGTATTTTTAGTCCTGACCGCTCTTAGGCTATGTATAGTTCCTTTTTTTAATGCATTTTCTATACATTAATAAAAGATACTGAAGGAGTGAGCTCTGTGCCTGTCTGGGAGCGGGGTGGGACCTGGGTCCTCATGCATCCAAACCCAGCAACGTTTCAGCCCCAACTTTATGCCAGGAGAGGACACACATCCCCTATCCCTGATCTTTGGTTATCCCAAGGGAGAAGCATGGGGGCTTACCATGGATTCACGTTCAAACCTGAAGAAAAAGAGCAGCTGATAGACCCCGCACCTGCAATGTAACAAAAAAACAGTGGGAGGAAGTTTTGGGGCATCCCAGCTTTGGCTGGTGATCCCATCTGCA